TGCGTTTTCTCAGGAGGTTGATGATGCTTCGAAAGGTAAGCCACTCTTTCCAGAGATGATACCCTTTCGGTTCACGGTAAACAAGGTGTTGCTAATCAGTAACTTGCTTTCTTAATAATTTTTCTTAACAGGAAGACATCAATAAGGCTGTTAAAGCTGCCAGAAAAGCCTTCGAGTTTGGGTCAGAATGGAGGCGCATGGACGCTTCACAACGAGGTCGTCTTCTCAACCGTTTGGCCGACCTTATTGAACGGGACCGCATATACTTGGCTGTAAGTTTTCCGTTGGCTGGATTTAATACAATGGAGAGCTGATTACTTTTACCTCATCGATTTTTCTACGTTACCTTCAGTCGTCTATGGTTAAACCCACGTTTTTTCTCCTGTTTATTTATATCTATACTTCACACTGAGTCTGAGTCCAAACACTGTGCCGAAACAAGTCAATGTAAAGAAATCTTTACAAAGAAGGACTCAGTTTATTGATTCATTTTAGAACTAGTAGATTTTGGTCAACGGGATTATGTTTTGCACAGTTTACTATAAGCGTAACAAAACCAAAGTGCGAAAACTTGGCCAATCAGTAAGTTTGAGAAAAATAGCTCGTTTAAGAATTAAATAGGTAACAAATGTGGGCTCTCTTGTGGTCATGTTGGTGNGTTGGTGAAGAAATGTGTCAAATTGCAGTGTGAAAAGTGCTCCCTGTTGGATGGTTCAAAATATTAAGCCAAACGCCACAAATTTGTATGGATATTTCCTGCGATAATCCGGGACAACCAATGGTAAATAGCGTTCAAGGTTGCCGCTACAGATTTAACAAGCTAGAAGACGTCACTGGCATAATCTCTGTCGCTATCTCTCCACAGGGGAGCTTTGCAGACATGGTTCAAACCGTTTGCGGAGCGTGTTGTATGGTCGAATTAAATTTCAATTTCTAAATGATGTCGTTTTATCCCTAAAGCCACCAGTTAACTTTAGGGTCATATCAAAAGCTTTCATCTCATTATGATTTGTGTTTCCAAACACAAGGTTTTACCGAAAGGAATCTTCCTTCCCGAGTATTACTTGTTTTAGTGTTCTCCAAATAAATTATTTAATTGAATTTATTGTTGTCAATCAGATCAATATTTTTTGTATTACTGCTAAACCACATTTGCTGGGGACACTTGTGATTCTTTCTCAAATCGTATTGTAATATTTTGATACTGTTCATCCCAACTAGTCCTGTTTTACGTTTCTCGTATTCACGAATCATACTATTCTATAATTCAGTCTCTTGAATCGTTGGATAACGGAAAGCCATTCTTGGATGCGTATCATGCCGATTTGAACCTGGTTATCAAATGTTTCCGGTACGTCTTACGATTAAACCTCAGTTGGTTTCAGCTTATGCAGTCGTTAACCTTGCGTCTTCTCTCGGTTTTTTTCGTTTCTTTTTTCTTTTTACCCGTCTCAATGAAGTGAAAAAAGAGAAAAAGTAGAATTGGAATTATTACGATAGCAAAATTACAAAACGAAGTTAAAATTAACCGAAAATTTCGAATTGCTTGAGTAGATGCACACACGTGGCCTTAACATTTCAGTTTCCCTTTCCGTCGATGCAATCGATCGCGATGTCTCCAATGGACAAGCCTGATGCAACTTGTCAGAGCTTCCGTACCTTCATATCAGGTCTAATTCCGACCTCCCGTGGCCTTCTTCCGCCCAATAATTGCTTTAGTAAACATCACACAGTGAAGGAACCTGTCTTGTGACTTAACCAATACGTGCCCCAGTTGTTGTGATTTGTGGAGGTCGAGCACTTACTCCAATGCGCCACTACGATTTCCTAAAACTCTGAGTTTAACCGCATTATTTGTCTGGTTTCCCCACCAGTCTCGAGAAACGAAGCGGTGTTCCCGTAACGTTTAGGTCTCTGCATCATAAAGAAAAAAACGGTCGAATAGCTGCTGCATACACTCTGGCTTTCACAGACAACTGAATGTCACGGACGCGCAAGAGTTAACTTAAGTTAGAAAAACCAAATGATGCTTCTGTTCGTTATCGACACTTAATCCTTGATATATCTTCCACGGGAGATGCTACTGCTTAAGCAAAATATTTCTCGTTTATTTCTTCCCCGGTTAGAGGATGGTTGAGAGTTGGACTGTACCAGTTCTGTGACAATTTTCCACTTGGGAGATTCACATAATCCGTAGCTACACTGACGCTCAAATCGTTCAGAAAAGCTTACAACTAACTGTAGATCTTCACTTGACAGTGCCTGCGGCCTCATTGATGCCACTGTGCTCATATGAGGAAAGGACTGTTTGTAGTTGAAGACGAAAAAGAGAGATTAACCCTGATTAACACCGCTTTCCGTAGTGGCCATTTGCAAACAGAAATCTTAATAACCCTATCCAAGTAGATTTAGTTAAGGGTGAATTTATGGTTGATGCATCCTCTACATGGTCTAAAACCAACCTGGTTCTCAAGCGATCGTCGTTCGCGTGTGGTAAGTAATCGACGGGTGTAAAGCCAGTGTGAAACGTTGAACCAGTGTCCGCAAGACACTCAAATATTGCGCGAGTAATACTTTTCCCTATGCATGCAGTCTAAGTATGAACATAGAAGAAAGTTTGGTGGGGTGAGGCAATTTTACGAGACACAGGTAGAGTTTGTCTTAGTTCGCTCCTGTATGGTGCAATACAGATTTTAGCGACTGTTGTCGTGTTTTCTAATTGACTGCGAAAATCCAAAGTGATTCGGGCTCGATCACCGTCAATTTTGGGATTGGAACTTGAACAGTCTCTTCCCGGCCTTCTCTAAAGTCGGTTCAGATTCAGGGATGGAGCCCACAGCATCTGCATTTGATTTAAATCTTGACTTACAGATTCCTCTTTGTGTACAGTATAGGATACCATAGCATTTAGTAACACTGGTTGAATACGGATAACATTTTACAAGTAAATACTGGAATGTTATGGTAGACAGTCGAAGTAACCTCTTTAATCAGGATATCTTCGTTACTTAAACGTTTAATACTTCTCTGTGAGTAAAATGTGGAACAGTACTGACTTAGTGAAACCACCTTTTCGGATTAATAATGACATGCTGTTTTATTGTGGAAATTTTCCTTTCTAGCGGTCTTACACGCATCGCATTCGTTAAAAACACCCCAAACCGTTTCCAAATAAAGAAATTAACCTGGTTGCACATTCGTTAGCTAAAAACTGTTTCCGGTTATCTATCTGTTTGTCTTCCATTATTCGAATTTAACCGAACAACTGGAGTTACACTAGGTTAGTTGTGATTATATTAGAAAGCTTGCATAGTAATCAGCTTTGCACTCAAATTTTTACGTAGTAAAAAGTGTATATCGATCACAATTAAGACAAAATATATTCAAGCATCATGTTGTTACCATCAATCTAAAACTACTTTTTTCAAAATTGGTTGTAAAAGATGCAGTCTTTTTAATCAAGGAAACTGGTCATAAATAAAGTTCACTATTTTCCACTTGTAGATTTTTGGAAAACTATCTTTTTCTGTTTGTTGACCTATAGCGACTGATTGTTTTATTCTGAAGCGAGACAATCAATCCATCTCACCATACTTGTTTTATTCTAGCTATTACGCTGGATGGGCGGACAAGAATCACGGTAAAACCATACCCGTGGAAGGTGATTTTGTCTGTTTTACGCGACACGAACCGATCGGCGTTTGTGGTCAAATCATCCCGTGGAATTTTCCCCTGTTAATGCAAGCCTGGAAATTGGCTCCAGCATTGGCTATGGGAAATACGGTTGTGATGAAAACAGCCGAACAAACCCCACTTTCCGCGAATTGGGTCGCACACCTGACCAAGGAAGCCGGATTTCCTGACGGAGTGGTAAACATCGTTTCTGGGTAGGTTGTCCGCGGTACGTTTGTGTGCTGTCTAAGTGAAATCTTGGCGTATTATGTCATCCAACCCATTGGGATGCCGTTCGTTGGTATATCCAGAAGACCAGCTCCTCTGAAAGTGGAAGAGTACGCGTTACTGCACCAAGATTCACTCGCACTGACTGCTCGCTTTAAACAATGGGCTGTGAAAAACCAGCTCACTATCTTCTCCTGGTAAAGGGAGGGGATGAAAAGCCCATATCCAAACCCGTTACTGGATTAATGAGCCAAGGTCAGCTATCTCAATATTCTTATTTCATACTTTTCTGAGTCCAGAATATGTTCCAAACAAACCAAGGTACGAGATTCTGTACAAAAAAATAAATCCGTTTTTGACTTGCATGTGGAACAAATGCTACTTGATCGTCCAGGACAAGGCAATTGAGTTATCCTGAGGTATTCACCATTGGAGTCCTCACTTATTCAAGATATTGCATGTAAGGCAGCAGGGCTACATGAAAACCAGGAGTCTAGGTCACACAGGTCCCGTTAGGCTCCCTGGTTGGGGACCTCGGGATGGTCATACCCGATGGTTAGAGACACTAAGTGATATGGTTGGGTGTCGTAAACAGTGGCGTTCGTGCATCTCCTCAGTTTCTCTGTATCATTAATTCACTAAACTTTTCAATCTTCTCTTCGATCCTACTTTCATCCTTTCTTATTTTCATCCAAATGGGCAGCCAAAAGATAGCAACCAAAATCGGTGCACAATAGTGCATGGTTAATGGTTTTTCACAGTGAACCTGAAACATAGTCCGTTTATGCGCATGTCCGTTCCCTCCAGTCAATTAAACTTCAACATTGAGTTCTCAAAGCTGATCGATTCGTCGCCTGCTTCCGCGCTCTCCGACTGCCTGCACATGTCACTTCACCTGCCTGTCTTTTTTACATATGTACGTATCCATGATTGTAACCGTGTACTTACTGTTGTGATTTTTCATAAGGATAAACGGGGTGTAGAGTCATGCAGATTCTTGGTCTGTGGATTTCACGTGAGAAATTCGTCCAAAAGATCGAATGATGCTCAAATCCCGAAATCAATAGAAGGCGAGATTGTCTAGAAGTGCGGCCCTATGAAGGGCAACCGATGGTTAGTATAAAATAGGTATACATCTCTAATATTGAGGCGAGCAGGGGAGTGCTCACCTGCACTGTCAACCTGCAGTCTTCAATAACGAAGTTGGGGTTACAATTACAACAACGTACGAAACAAAAGCAAATTATCACTGTAGACAACACCTGAACAAACATGAATTGATTCGGTTCACCCCTGGCATGAACTGGTTGGTACAGTGGTGACACACGTCTTTCATGCGATGGGCCCGGAGTTCAAAGCTCGGACGGGAGGAGGCATGTGCACTTCTAATCAGTTCCAATAAGAGCGAAACTCGAGTTTACACCTTTTCAACTTCAAGTGAATTCGCTGTAAGTTCAAGTGAACCCAACTAACCACATTCCATGGAACCCCACAAAATGATTGGTGTTTCAGCCGTCAGACGTCACTGATTAGACTGGGTCTGTCTAAATCCCATCCAATCTGAATGACCTAATTTCTCCGTAAACAAATAAAAGTACTTTTCGAGTGAGTTACCTAGCGGGGCTGAAAGTTTCGATGGCTGTTCGTCCCCCCTATCCCCCGGGGAACGTTATGCCCTTGATTATTTATCGTGGAAGCTTTGAACTATACGATGATCGAAGCCGGCGGTAATTGGCCTGGATTGGTCGGGCAAGAAAGCGAATCACTTTAAGATTGATCTATAAATCGGTCACCATGCTCATGCATGAATGTCAGCATGAATCATTGTATGAATGGGTTCAACTGGGGCCCTCAATATCCCAATGAGTAAATTCCATTGAGGCCATGATTTCCTCAAAGAACACCGATTCCTTTGAATAAAATGCGATTGTCTACGTATCTCTAACATTGAAAGACAGGCTTACTTAACAGTTATACTCGGATCCACTAAGGAGTTAGCAGTATCTCACCTGAATAGTAAGACCAAATTTGAACTCATTCACTAGCTAACGGAAATCAATTTTTTCTCTGCAATTCTCGGGATGTCTATTACATTATATCCATAATGGCAGTGGCAACAATCTGCCATCTGTAGCTTCTCCCTTCAGTCCTCAGCCTCGTCGAATAGGTTCTTATCTATATTGCATCATTCATCAGTCGGGCGCATCTTTTCACGCCTGATTACATCTGTGCGAACCTTATAGTTTGGTGAATGAGGCAGGTCCATCTTGCAATGACTGACAACTGTGAGTGGATTTTAATTTGCCGCGAAAGGTCAAAACAGAACGGTCGACCTTCCGCAGCAGATAAATATACGATTCGAGAAGTGTGTGAATGAACTCGTGGGTTGTGATCACCCATTGCCACACCATCGCCACTTGACACAGTTTCGAGTAAAAGTGCAAATGAATGACCACTTCTCGTTGGGGAGGGGGGGGAATGATGCAAACTACCAAACACTGGATTCTATTCCACTTTATTCAAAATAATCACCAACAGTTGAATTTATTTTCATTTCGTATGAAGGGGGAGTAATCTTTGATCTATGTGGTGAATGATGCGAGGTAAAAGCTAGCTGCAATAGTCATTCCATAGGCTTCCTATCAAGCGAGCACTGAATATGATGGCATAATCAGATCAGTTATGCTGACGTTAACTGTAAGACACTAGGTATCAAAGCGTTTGCTATTAGCTTTGTGTAAACAATACAGTAGTTAGTTCGGGGTTCGCCGTGGGAAATGTAATCTATATTATTCTATAACTTAGACACTTCATTTTCAACGGTCACTGTTAAGCTTTGAATGCGAAAAATTAGGCAATGGCATTCGTTCCCCCAAAGTGACCACAATGGAATTCCAATCACTATATATCCCATTCAACAGTTCATGATCACATTCCCACTTGTTTGTAGTCATCGCATTATCGATCTAACTTGTCACGGCACACCTGTCTATACGACCGATCGAGGTCAGTTATCGTCGGATTAGTTCATTCCCGTCTACGATGCTCGCTCGCTCGATACCCAAGGGTATGCGTTTCTCAGGC